CGAAGAAGAGGCAGCCATTTCCTTCCTAGCAGAAGTCTCACTTCACTGTGGAGAAAGAAAACAGCAGTTGGCACATTTATGGGAGTGAGAGTGACATTTCATTCTAGCTGCCATAAAAGCCAGCACAAGTTTAGTAGAAAATTGGCTCCCCCTTTTTCTACCCTCTACTCCTACGATCTTTTATTGAGCCTCAGGCCAAAATGTCACTCAGGATTTTAAGTGAAGATATGTTTATTCTTAGTTTTTCTACTTAAAACACTATTTCCTACCACTAGTAAACTGTTTATGTCACTTGGGATTGACTGTGGGTGATTTACGGGTTAAAAAGGGTGGCAGGGCCAGGCCAAGGTAGTAATTTGACTGAAGAAATACATTATATGCGGATAAAACAACCATGCCTCATTGGACAGTTTGTCTTGGATACATCCTGACCAAGCCACAGCAAATATTCACTTACAAAATTTTCCAAGAACATGTTAAATGTTTATGTCACTTGGGATTGACTGTGGGTGATTTATGGGTTAAAAAGGATGGCAGGGCCAGGCCAAGGTAGTAATTTGACTGAAGAAATACATTATATGCGGATAAAACAACCATGCCTCATTGGACAGTTTGTCTTGGATACATCCTGACCAAGCCACAGCAAATATTCACTTACAAAATTTTCCAAATAAAATTCCAGAATAACACTGTGTTCTGGTCCCAAGGAAGGGGAATTGGTTAGGAAGTACATATTGGCCCTTTATTACGAAGTAAAAAAAACCCCTTTTCATCCAAGTGTAATATGCAAGTTGATCACTTGGTGGCGTCCCAAGACTAGAAAAAAATAGTTCAGGAAATGATTTCAGAATTCATGGCTTATTTAATAGGCCCTATTAGGAATAGAGCAGCTATTGAGTGTTTCATCTCTTGCCATATCAATAAAATAAAAAAGTCCAAATGTAAATGAGAAAATCTATACTGAATACACCTTACAAAATAAAACAAAAATACTTTTACCATAGAAACTTACACCATACATTTACAAAAGATTCTAAAAAGTGTGTTTTCTTAAAAAAAAAAAGTCTAGTATTGTGCTAACAGAACTTCTGCATCTATTAATGTTCTAATGTGCTACTTCTGCCTGTCCAACATGGCAGCGACTACCCTCATAGTGGTTATTAAACTAGTTGATTGAAAAACTGTATTTTAAATGTTATTTAATGCTAATTGAAATTTAAATAGCCACAGGGGGCTGGTGTTTACTGTACTGGAAAGTACAGCTCTAGTATTTAGACTAAAAAATGACTTTAAACTGAACTGTATACTTGAAAATGGCTAATGGTTAATTTATGTACCGTGAATTTTGGTTCACATAACATAAAAAAAGATAAAAATGACTTTACATGGATTTTTAAAATAAATTCCCCTTTTTAATGGCCAGAGAGAATTTTTGCTAAACTTTTATTTTGCTAATTGCAAAAGGAATACATTTGTTATAAAAAGTTGAAATGTATTTTTTTTAATGAATTTATTGAGGTGACATTGGTTAATAGAACCATATAGGTTTCAAGTGTACAACTCGATAACACATCACCTGCATGCTGCATGGTGTGCCCACCACTCAAAGTCAAGTCTTTTCCCACCACCATGTACGTCCCCTTTGCCCAGTTCTACCTCTGAAACTTATTTTTGAAAAAAAAATATTTTTTTTTAATGAGGAAAAGCTATACAGATATAAACCCTATATATGCATAATCCAGTTTCCTAGCAAGGGAAATAATATACTGTGCATTTCTGAAAATCTGGCTGTTTCCTTAATTTTGTGATTATGATTTAAGGTTGTGAGGGAAGCAGGCCTTAGTTTCTGATTTCATTACATGTCTATAAGTAATACTGATTAATACTGCAGTGGGATATGGGAACAGTAAGGCAACTGCTATAATTAGAATGTCAGCCCATTTAAAAATGCACTGACTAAGGACATTTTCAACCTTGTATTAGTCACTTTTCCTTTTTTCCTCTGAGCTCTATAACTTTCCAAATTGTATTCATATTCATAGAGGCAACACCTTTTGAAGTTAGATTCATATCCAATCCCTTGGACCATACTAGCTCAAAACATAGCGTGACATGTTTAAAAATTCTCTTTAGATTTCTGTTGGGATCTAAATAAAGTATACAGACAGCTTAGCTATCTTTTGGAGAGTAGCTCAGTCTTATTTCCCATGAGTTCAGAATAGAACCCACTGTGAACTGTTTATAACTCCAATCTTTTCCCTATACCTTGACATAAGCTTTAACTAGTTGCAAATGTAAGGGATACTTTGTATTTTAAAACCCAGTTGGTCAGTAGAGCACTCAAGCTAACTGCCAGAATGCCGACAACTTCAAAAGCAAGACACAGTGTGACTTCTAAACTGCATATAATCAAAGAAATTCCCTTCATCCTATTTTCTCTCAAATTCAGAACAACTAGCATTCAATACACAGATCAACCAGAGCTAAAAACTGGAGTGCAGAATTAGCACAAAGCTAACTTTAACATAAACAAGCAGTTTTCTGCTGAGGTGGAAAGATACACCTGAGTAAGTTCAAACTTTAACGATTTAGGTTAAATTTTGAATGGTATCAGGAGGTGGTAACAGAGTTAAAGTGAAACTAATAATAAACCCGAGTTTGAATGGCTCTGTTAAGGCAGGCATTATGATCACCAGAACCAAACATAATGCCTGGTCTATACTAAGTAGCTGTTGGTTTAAATTAATGTTTACTACATGAACTAAACATTTCACAGGAATCATAAAGATTCCTTAAAGGTCATCTAATCCAACTCCCCCATTTTATTAATGATAAAACAAAACTGAGGTATAGAGACTTTAGCTTATTTGCTGTGACATTTTTTAAGCGATGGCTTTGTTGGCATGTCATGTGTCATGTGAGAGGTGAAATAGCATAGTGGTTAAGAGCTCAGATCCTGGTCCTGGCGAGAGTGGCTCAGCTGGTTGGAGCTTTGTCCATACACCCAAGGGTTTTGGGTTCCATTCCCCATCAGGGTACATACCCCGGTTTTGGGTTCAAGCCCAAGTGCGGGAGGAAACCCATTGATCTTTCTCTTTCAGAGCTCAGATTCTGAAGCTTCTAGGCCTACGTTCATGTCCTGGTTTTTGCTACTTATTGTATAACTCTGCACAAATCACTTAACCTCTGTTCCTCAGTTGCCTCATCTCTAAAATGGGAATAGTACCTACCTCAGAAGTGTCATGAAGGTTAATATTAAATAAAGCAATTGGGACATTTACGGCACAGTAAACAATACTATTAGCTCTCCCAAATCACTAATTATTATTTACTCTTGAATCTTTTTTTTTCTTCTATGCAGATCTGCTTTTCATACATACTGTGTCCCAATACACTCACAGGAAAAGTTCTAATTCTCTCCATTTGACATTGAGTCAGCAAGTTCCTAGAGGGGAAAGGATCCGCTCAGGAAAAGGAAAAATGCCCTCCATTAATGCACTTCAAACTTTCATTTTAAGGTTCATGAACTTAGAAAGAATAATGTGATCTAGAAAAGGAGGAAGGAGTTGTCTTTCTACCTTCAAGTCCTAGCACAAAGTTCTGGTCAAAATGGCCAAGTAGAAAATAATAATGAAAGTCGATTGTAATTGAAAAAAAAAGACCTAGCACAGAACCTGGATCACGTTTCCTGCAGGAATGATGAATAAATGACACAACACAGTGCTAGCAGCTCAGCAAAGGTTATGAAGGGGATAAAGGATTGGTTCATTACTGTTTTCTTTTCTTCCTCATTCTGCAGATCTATCTGCCACTAGGCTGCCACGCCCAAAGTAGGTGGTTCAGTAAGATTTTGTTGAATAAATATTGATGAAGTAACCTGGAGTTTGGCCCTATCAGTGAAGCTGGGACTACTGGCAATAAAGATCCTCATAGAAGAGCAATGCTATTTGGGGGACACACACAATGTCTGTGTCCACACTAAGATGATTCAATATTTTTTTAAATATATATTTTATTGATATTTTTTTGCAGAGAGGAAGGGAGCGTGTTAGAAACATTGATGAGAGAGAAACATAGATCAGCTGCTTCCTGCACGCCCCCTATTGGGGATGTGCCCGCAACCAAGGTACATGCCCTTGACCGGAACCAAACCCGGGACCCTTCAGTCCACAGGCCGATGCTCTGTCCACTGAGCCAAACCGGCCAGGGCAAGATGATTCAATATTTACTTCACATACGACAGGGATGACCTTGTATTCATAAACTATTTTCCTTCCTAGCAGATTTATGCCTATTTTGTTAAAAAAAGATTCCTTCCTTTTGAAAAAGTCTTATTGAAAAGATAGACTCTTAAAGATGGTACCGTGGTACAATGACAAATTATTGTAAGCAATCAAATTCCATCAACAAATCGTTCCACTGTATCCATCCCACTTAAATAGCTGCGTTACCATTCAAACAGATGCTGCAGCGAAAACCAGGTGGGGTGGAGAGAAAGGGCTGAAGAGGGGAGGAGTCAGAACGCCAGAGGCTCCCAAACTCCTGCCAGGCCACACTCCCCCCAACCCCGGTTCGGCCCCAAGGGGCCATCGCGCATGCGCCACCACCAGGCGCGCATGCGTTCTCAGTCCGTCGCGGCCTGCGGGGACTTCCTTTTCCACGCCCTCTGCGGCAGGCTCCCGTTTCTCCCAGCTTCTCCTTTTCGCTAGTCCCTGCAGGTAGGATCCTGAGGATAAACTCTCTTTCTGCAAAGCTCCTGAGCGTCCCTGAGCCCTTGGCAACTTACCTCAGCGGTCTTGGCACTTTCCCCTTCAGCCCCGCCCCCAGGCCTCAGCCGGAGCGGCCGCGCAGAGAACGACTGC